AAAAAAATTTTTTTTTTTTTTTTTTTTAATTATTCATATTCTTACAAAAATCTGTTTTGTTTTTTTTTTTTTTTTATTATTATCAAATTTTAGCATATCAACATGATAGATCCGAGTTAATTTGTAAAATATGGGAATTTATATATGACAACTATCACGACGCAACTAATGGTTTACATATTATATTGGTGGATAGATTTGCAAATGAAAGTCCAATAATAAAACCATTAACTTTAAGAGGTATCAAAATATCCACCCTTATAAGCCCTGTACCAACATTCCATCAGAATAATAATAATCAAAACAGTAATAATAACAATAGTAATAGTAATAATAATAATAATAATAATAACAGTAATAACAGTAATAACAATAATAGTGGTTTACATGACACATTTTTTCAAGATTCATTACATTATAATTTAAATCCATATAGCGACGAAATCAATTTTAATAATAATAGTAATAACAATAATATTCCAAATAAAGTTATTCATAATTTAAATGGTTCAATCTTATCGAGAGACCAACCACATCATCTTTCACATCATCACCATCAACAACAATCGCAACAACAGCAACAACAAAACACCCCAACAATTCCAGGTTTACATTTCAATAGTTTAGCTAGCTATGGAAATAGTAATCCTACCAAATTAAATTTAAATCCACCACCTCCATCAAACCCATTGTCAGGATTGAATAGTTATTCACCCCTACAATCACCAAATTCACACACCCAACCTGTATTAAATAGTCAATCAACACAACAAAAAATAAACTCACCACTTTCTCTCTCTGGACTTGTTAATAGAAACACCGGAAGCAATAATAGTAGTACCAGTAATAGCACCAATAGTAGTAATAGTAATATTTCTCCTCTTCCATCACCATCCTTATCATCCTCATCATCAGGATCAGCTCTATCACCAACTACTTTATCATTAGTGTTACCATCATCTAATTTCCAAAATGGTAACTCTCCAATTACCCCAAAAAACCTATCACCATTATCCTCATCAGCTCCAAATACCCCAAAACAATTTCCCTCTTCACAACAACAATCCTCATTAATCAATAGTTCATTATCTCATTCATTTTCATCATTATTAACAACCTCATCGATTTCCCACTCCCCAACACAACAATCAACACAACAACAATTCCACCAAATTTTAAAACAAATTGAACAACAACAACAACAACAACAACAGCAACAACAACAGTCATCTCCACAACAATTTTTACAACAACAGCAATTACAACTTCAGCAACCACAACAAAAACAATTACAACAAAAAGAAAAACAACAAAAAGAAAAAGAGCAAAGGGAGCAAAAAGAAAAGGAGCAAAAAGAATTGTTACAAAATTTAAATATAAAATATCCACCCGGTTTGGTAGAACCAGTTTTACAAAATTTGTATGCTGTAATTTTAGGTTTAAAAGAAGATGGCTTCAAACCTACTTTTAAAGTAATTTTACCAAGATTGGGCACCTTAATGAGTATGAGAGTACACAGATCTCATTTTGAAAAAATACTAGAAAAAGCAAAAGTAAACAATTTTAATATCGACTATACAACCAAAACCATTTATTATAAAGATGATAATTTTGGTGGAGCAGACCCACACAATGCAGAAAAATCCCATTTTCCAGAGGAGGTGTACTTAGAGTTGGTTAGTTTCATACAAGCTTCACAAATAAAAGTTTTTCCAAGCAGATATAACATGGTTGTTTGGGTCAGTTCACAAAATCTTCCTCTTGTTGGTAAATTAAAGCAAGGTCAAATTGTTGAATTATGCCAAATAGCCATTAATGAAAGTATTGTAAATCTAGATGAAACAATGAAAAAGCTCTCTGTAAATCAGTTAATGAATGAACAAAAGTCTATAACTCTTCAAAATAACAATAATAACAATAATAACAATAATAACAATAATAATAACATTAATAACAATAATAATAATAATAATAATAATATTTGTTAAATAATAAAATTAACACCAAGTTTTTTTATTTTTTCATTTTTCATTTTTTTATTTTTTTATTTTTTCATTTTTTCAAACAAGTTAACCACTTAAATTTTTAAGTTAGATTTGTATTTCGATTTAATATAACAAAAATTAAAATTAAAATTAAAATTAAAATTAAGTATTTAAATTTAAAATTAAGTCGCTTAATTTTTATATATAAAAAAAAAACAAATAAATACAAATCCAAAAAAAAAATAAAAATATTTTTATTTTTATTTTTTTTTTATATATAACTTTTAATTTTGCTTTTTTTTTTATAAATTTTTTAAAAAATTTAAAATTCTGATGGGTCAAACTAAACATTATTTGATTCCTACACAAGATGAAGCTTGTTCCTTGCTTTTCAAAAAAATCAAAACAGAAAAAATAATTAAGCCCAATGATGTTCCTTTTGAACTATCAAATAATCTCACTTCGGAGGAGTATAAAAAATTAATTGGGTTAATAGCAAGAGAATTGGAATTAAATTGGGTTTTTAGAAAAATTAGAGTGTATTCCTCATCTCTAATTTCCCTCTCCATCCTATTTCCATCCTATTTGGTAGTCAACAAAAATATTGGATTAATGGTATTTTTTATATTTATTGACCTTTATTTTGGGGAGCACTATTTCTTTTCATTTGATGTTTTTCTTGATTGTATGTAAAATTATTATTTTAATTTTTTATCCAAAAACTTTTTTTTTTAACAATTTTTATTATTATAGAGCGAAATCAAATTTGAATCTTTTTTAAATAATTTAAATTATAATTATTTAAATAAAAAAATTTCATTCTCAAAAAAAAATGAAACCGTTGGAAGTGGTCTTAATAGCTATGTTTCGAAAAGAATTTGCATATCATATATGATAGATTCATCCGCTGAAAACATAGAAGCAACTCTACCAAGTGATAACGGGGAATGCCAAATATTCATTAATACTGAAACACCTCAATCTGGTTTAAATAATTATGGTAATCCCAATGACCCAGGTGAAAAAGCCCCTCTAATTGATATCCAGATATCTAAAAGCCCCAATTAATGAGGGATTGTTTTAATTCTTTAATATCTTTTATTAAAGCTGTGATTGATAAATGTTTTTTAATAAAAATAATCAGTTAAACTATAGTTGTTATAACTATTTTACAAAATAAATATCTATTTAATTATTTATTTATTTATTCATCGTAATAGTCATTATTACTATTATTATTATTATTTGCCAAGGCGCCAAAGTAAAGAGTAATGGTTTTTAATTTATCGTTTATATAGTTTTCCTCTACCTCACATTCTTCGCTACCCCCATTTTCTTTTGAAATTAAACAAAGCTTGGCTATATCTGACTTGCTGGTGTTTCTTGGTAAAAAATATGCAATGTTTGGTGTTACCTTTAATGCATTTCTGAAAATGTCAAAGCTAAAATAAAATTAATATATAAAATAAAAAAATTAGTTTTTATGTTTATAATTTTATATTGTTTGATTTTAACTTACCCATTTGGTACCATAGTATCTATATAAAATATTTGGGAGTTGATATAAGATGGACCACCCCAGGGTGGTGATAAAAATACAACATCTGCCTTTAAATTTGATAGCCTAGTTGAATCCGAATTAATAAACTCAATATTGGTGTTTTGTTCTGTATGACCATAAACCAAAGAGTTGTGTTTTGCCATCATCAGTTTAAGAGGATCCATATCGATTGCAATAACATAGTTGCATGTAAAACTAAACTGTATAACATTACCACCAGAACCACAGAATGCATCAACCAAAGTACCACATCTACATCTCTCAGCAATATGTTGCGCTATTAGCTCGGGAGTTACTGAAAACCATGACTCTTCGTCTAATATAATACCCTCATCAAATCTTGAAAATAACCTATATCTTTGATAATAATATTTAAAATTTTCATCTTGATTTTTAATTAAATTTTTTAAAACCAATGAATGGTCTTTAAAACTACCATTATTATTATTGTTATTATTATTATTATTATTATTATTATTATTATTATTATTATTATTATTATTATTATTATTATTATTAATATTATTTAACGAGATTTGATGATCCTTTTCTTCTAGTTTTTGATGTGGCTCAAGATCTAATGGTGCACCTGCTACAATTGTTTTGTTTGATTGTTCCTGTTCTACTTTTTCTTCCTGCCCATCTTGATCTATATCGCAATTAGTGTCTTCATCATAATCCTCTTCATAATCCTCTTCATCCTCTTCATCCTCTTCGTCGCTATCTCTTAATATTTTTTCGATTTCATAATTTCTCTTTTCTATATTATTATCATCATCGGTGTTATTATTGTTATTGTTGTTTTTATTACTATTGTTGTTGCTAAGTATATTAATTCTTTTTAATTTTTCAAACTTTTTTTTTTTAATTTGTAAACTTTTTAATTTTCTTTTAATACGTCTTCTTTTAATTTTTTTAGCTTTTGAAAATTCTGGGCTTTCGATTTGAGATTTTACTAGATCTATTTGTTCTTCTATTTTCATTATTATTTATTTATATATTATTAAAAATTTTGAATATAGATAAAGATAACTAAACAATAACGAATAGTTAAAACTTTAAAAAAAAAAACTTTAAAATAAATAAAAAAAATAAAAAAAAAAAAATATTTTCTAAAATATAAAAAAAATTTTAAAATTTTCATAAAAATTGAAATTTTTATTTTTAAAAATTATTAAATTGCAATGAAAAATATTTAACTGAAAATGAAAATAAAAAAACAAAACCTATTACGCCCATCTCTTATTAACCCCCTTTCCTAATTCCATGCTTACCGTGGTCTCTCTTTAAAAATCCAAGTTTTTAAATTAAGTACGGCGATAGTTGAAAACACAAAATTAATTTTAAACAAATAAATAAATTAAAAAAGTTGTTTTTTTTTAAAAAATGAATATATTTATTCTTTATTTACAATTATATTACTTTGTTTTTGTTGCAGTAGTGGTTGTCGTGGTGGTAGTTGTTGTTGTTGTTGATTTATTAAAAATACTAGAAAAAGCTTCGGACTTCATCTTTTTATTTAATTCTTCATTGGCTTGTTTTAAAGTGTTAGTGGTAAAGGATGATTCTGATACTAAACTACTATCATTTGCACTTTCTAAATTTCTTTTTTTCGATGATTTCTTTTTTTTTGATTTAGAATTCTCTAATTTTTCTTTTAACAGTATTTTCATTTGTTCTAATTCTTCGTTATTTGGGTTAACAATAATGATATCACCCTCACTAAATTCTTTTGAACATATAAAACAGCTTTTAGCACTATTGGTATTCTTTTCCTCTTTATTAGTAGTGGTTGTGGTGGTTGTTTTTGACGAATCCAACTCTTTAAATGATTTATCTGATAAAACATGTCCACATGTTTTAATAAATTTAAATTTATGATGGCTGCCAACTTCTAATTTTGTAATTGGACATAACCATGGTGATACTGTTTTATCTTTTTCGTATGCTGGGTTTGGTGTGAAATGAACGTCATAAATCGACTTAAGTGAACGTATATGCGAAAGATTTTTTGAAGATTGGAGTGAACCGTCCAATAATGCCTCTATTACTTTATCTTTATTAAACAAGTTGCCTAAATCATCAATCACTATAGGCTCACACAATACGTTTTGAGCCAATTTACATAAAAACCATTTTGCATATTCTAACTGTTCTTTATCGAATATTTGTGTATCTTTTTTCTTCATTTTAACCACCTCGTCACGAGTTGGAATTGTTCCTCCGTCGCATCCCATTTTATTTTTATAATGTTATTTTGTACAAATTATTTAAATAATAATAAAAATAGAAATAAATATATATATATATAAATATTTTAAAAATAACTAAAATTGTATTTAAAAAATTTTAAAATTAAAATAAAAAAAAAAAAAGAAAAATTTAATTTGTTATTTAAATTTTAAAAAAAAAAAAAAAAAAATATAAATTTTAAAAAAAAAAATAAAAAAAATGAAAAATAATTTTAAAATTATTTTTTTTATAAATTTTTATTTCTTTTCTTTTTCTTGGTCTATTAATTTATTTTAATCTTTTTTTATTACCATCTATTTATTATCTATCATTTATTTATTATTTATAATTTATAATATAAACTGTTGTGCTATGTTCCAATATTAAAAAAGAATGGATCCCAAATCACCCAAAAATCAAGATCAAACAACAGACCAAAACCCACAAAAGGATAATAATAATAACGACAATAATAGCAATGATAATAATAATAATCATAAATTTATAAACCCAAACTACAATACTTTAATTCATTTAAATGACAAAGAAATTCCTAAATACTTTTCAATATTTGACAAACTTTATTACACCTTTTATCATATGGAAACACTGGATATCCATGACTATACATACAGTAAAGAGACAAAACAACTTTGGAAAAAAATAATAGACAATTGCCAAAAATGTGCATTTTTTTTTAATTGTCGTTATTTTGCTAACGAGGCAGTAGCACTATATAACAATGTAAATATCATCAACTTTACAATTTTAAAAAAACTCTCTTTTACTTATATTTTTTTCTTATAGATCGAAATTTATAAAAAACTTTCATTAATTATAGATCATTGTTTAAATCCAGGCAACTTTCAAGGTCTAAAACATTTTCTTTTAAATGTTTTCACTTATCATTATTTTGATAATGATAAGTCAACAAGTTTTTTAAAACCCTTATTAGATAAGCAAATTGGTATGACAATAGCAACCAAGGATTTTTACTACACAATGGCTCAAGAATTTATTGATATTGTAGAAACAAATAGATATGAACTGGTTGATGAAGTTGATGGCGAAGAATTAAGGGAAACTATTATCATCACTAAACTTTCAGTATACTTTACAAGATTTAATGAAGAAATTCTACCATATTTGCCTAGACCCATCATAGATAGAGTATTTATAACATATTTATGATTCTAATTAACTATATAAAACAAGAATAGCCTTTTCTAACAGATACCTATTATTTATTTTAGATCTCAACATTTAGAAAATCAGGCGGTTATAGATTTAATAATATACGTCAATATAATTTTGATAGAGTAACAGAGAAATATTGGTATTTTGATGATCCTGAAAATATAGGTAACTATTTTTTATCTTTTTTAAAAGTTTTATTTAAATAATGAAACTAATAAAACTCCAATTTAGTTTTAATGAACAATAATGAAACTATTAAATTAAATAACCAAATCAAAAATCAAAACAATGTAGATAATAGTATAAACAACAACAATATTGGTCACAATATAAGCAATACTACAGATAAAAACGATAAAAATAATGATATCGAAAACAATATTAATGTTGATCATAATATAGCTAATACCACAGATAATAAAAATAATAATAAAGAGAATCCAAAAACCTCAACAAATATAGTTACCAATGATAGTAGTGAAAATCAAAATAATAAAGAAAATAGCAATAAACCTATTTGGTCATATAATGAAACTAAATTACTTATTGAAGGGTTTTATATGTTTGGTGAAAAATGGTCGAAAATCAAAAATTATTTTTTTAGCAGCGAAAATAATTCTGGAAACCTCAGATCAGAAGACGAGATTTCACTTCAAATAAAAAAATATATAAAAATTTTTCCTGATAGTAATCAAATGATTACATGTTTTTTATCGATGATTGACAAAGAATGGTGCGACAATCATTTAAGAGAAATTGAAAGAAAAGAAGAAAAAGAAAAAAAAAAAGAAAGAAAACAAGAACAAGAAAGAAAAAAAGAAAGAGAAAGGGAAAAAGAAAGAAAAAATGAAAATGAAAATGAAAATGAAAACGAAAGCGAAAATGAAAATGAAAATGAAAAAGAAAATGAAAATGAAAATGATAAAGCAAATGATAAAGAAAATTTAAAAAACAAACCCCTACTATCCAAAGAGGAAACCGATTTTGTTAAAGAGTTTAACTATGAGAATGATTCACTAGAATCAGAAATAAAGAAGTTTAGAGAAAAAGAAAAAGAAAAAAAACATACAGATAATAGTACTACAAATCCCCCATCGAAACAAACAAATATTTCCAAAAATCCACATGTACCAAAAAGAGAACACTCTCAATCCCCAGTCATCGACATTAGCAGTGGCAGCGAAGATGAAAAAAAAGAAAAAAAAAAGAAAAATATATCTGAAAAGAACTCTGCCACTTCATCAAATAATAAAAAAAAGGAATCTAAAAGGGAGTATATTGACGCTGACAATTTTGATAACGGTGAAAGTGAAGAAGAAAGAGAAAGAGAAAAAGAAAGAGAAAGAAAAAAACTTAGATTTTTACAAAGAGAAGAAGAAAAAAAAACTTTAGAAAAAAAAAATATCAATAATAAAGATTAGAAAACAAACCCAATTCAAATTATTTTTAATTAAATAATTGAAGTTTGTTTATGCTTAGATAATTTTTTTTATTATATTGTGTGTAAAAATTCAACCCCCTTTCAATTATTTATTTTTTTCAAAAATATATTTAACTTAAAAAATTATAATATATTTCTAAAATAATTTTTTTTTTTTATTGATATATTTATCTATTTATTTTTTTAAAAAATACATTAAAAAAAAACAAAAACTTTTTTAAATAAATCCATTCAAAAAAAGATTATGATACACAGATATCTTTAAAATCAATATAGTTAAATATTATTTATTTAACTGCGAGGTAAATTATTTTTGTTTGTTATTATAATGTATTGTATTATGGTATTTGTTTTTTTTTTTAAAATTCAATTAAATTGATAACTACTCTTTTTAAACACCCCACAAAAGAACACAGTTCATGAACAAAAAAAATTTTAAGTGTGTTTTTTTTTTTTTTTTGAGGGGTAAATTTATTAATCAAATAAACTATTTTTAATATATTATTTCTATATATTGATAAAAAAATGAGAATTGCATAATTATATATTTATTTTAAAAGAAAAAAGAATAATGTTCTTTATTCTTTTATTTTATTTAAATTAAAAAAAAAAAAAAAATTTAAATTTTTAAAAATTAAAAAAAAAAATATTTAAAGCATGGGGAGAAAGTAACAAATTTTTTTTATAATTTTTAAAAAAATTTTATAATTTTTTTTTTTACGCACTCCAATCCACCAACAGTAGTTTTTTCATTTTTCAATTTTTTTAATTTTTTTTTTTTCACACAAATTTTTGTCATTGAAAACATATAATAAAAATGGGTCGTCGTACGTATCTCTATTTATAACTATCCATTGTTTATCTTTGGTTATCTTTATTTATCTATTAAAATTCATTCATATTAATCATCAATCTTTAATTTTAAAATAAATAGGTCCAGCTCGTTGGTATGTTTAGGATTATTGAGGATTATTGAGGATAGATATAGGATTGGATATACAGAGGATTAGATTAAAAATTATACACATATTAATAAAATTTAATAACAGCTATAGATATCAAAAGAACAAACCATACATCAAGTCAAGATACTGTCGTGGTGTCCCAGATGCTAAAATCAGAATTTTCGATTTAGGTAGAAAGAAAGGTAAATTTCATACTAAAACATACACCCGACAAACGAAACAAATCTATGAATATAAATTAATAGTTTTTATTTTTTAAATATTACAGCCGCAGCTATTGATTTCCCACTCTGTGTCCACTTAATCTCATTAGAAAAAGAACAACTTTCATCAGAATCAATTGAAGCTGGTCGTATTTCATGTAACAAATACATCTCTAAAACCGGTGGTAAAGATTCATTCCACATGAGAGTTAGAGTTCACCCATGGCACGTACTTCGTATCAATAAGATGCTTTCATGTGCTGGTGCTGATAGACTTCAAACTGGTATGAGAGGTGCTTTCGGTAAACCAATGGGTACTGTTGCTCGTGTTGATATTGGTCAAATCATTTTCTCAATCAGAACCAAAGACTCCATGTTAGCCAACGTTATTGAAGCCTTACGTAGATCTTCATACAAATTCCCAGGTCGTCAAAAGATCGTCATCTCAAAGAAATGGGGTTTCACTCACTTCGATCGTGAAGAATTCTTAAAATTAAAAGAAGAAGGCAGATTAATGAACGACGGTGCCAACGTTAAAGTTATCACTAACCACGGTTCATTAGAACAATACGGTCAAGATATCACCTTTGCCAACTAAATTTTTAAATAAAAAAAGTTAAACTTTTTAAAAAAAAAAAAAAACATTCTTTATATGTATTAAAATACACAATGTAATTTTTATCTAATTTATTATTTATTTTTTTTAAATATTCATTACAATATTTATTTTTTTAAAATTTCATCACAATATTTATATTTTTAAACACGATTCATATTTAATTTTTTTTTCAAAATAAAATATTTTAAATAAAAACAAGATCATTTATCAGGTCATAAATTCAGATAAATATATAAATAAACTTTGTTTTCTTTTTATTATTTTTTAACGAAACTTTTTTTTTTTTTATTTTTTTTTTATTTTTTAGTTTTTTATTTTTTCGTTTTTAAAATCTTTTTTTTTTTAGTTTTTATAGTTTTTATTTTTATATAAAATTATATAATTAACATACAATGATGGATTTTTGGCAAGATAAAATAAAGGAAGATTTTAATGAACAGATTAAAAGTGTAAATGAAAATGAAACATTCGAAAAATTATATGTGGAAAAAATGAAATTTGATAAAGATGCAAGCAACGATTTTTCAAATAAATATGTAGAAGCTTGCAAATTAGTATTAGAAGATCAATTGACCACATTAACAGAAATTATTTTAGAGAAAGATTTAGGCAGTATTAAATATCAATTAACAGCAGAGCTTAGAAGAAACGCTAATTTGTTTAAAGATTTAGTAAAACCACAAGGTCCAACTAAAAAGAAATCAGAACAACTAGTCCCATCATTGGATAGAATGTGTTTATTGTTCTCTATAGCAAGTAACGATTTCGAAATTTTTAAATATATTTACGATAATGGTGGTTCGCACCTAATCAATTTTATTGATCCTGTAACTGGATGCACATGTTTTCATATGGCAATGTTGGTCGGTAATAAAGATATCATCGAGTTTTTAATCACTAAAGTAACACCAAAGATCAACGTTATGGCATTGGATTCTTTTAGAGCAACTGGTTTCGACTATGCAAGAATGAAAGGTATGATTCCATTCACCACACCACCAAATCCAAAAACTATCAAAGTTTACAATTATAAAAATAGTCAAATTGTCGAAGATTGGCCTTTAGATACTGTGGAATCTGAATTAAATATAATTTATACACCAAGAGTTTTATCAACAACCGATTATTTAGTAGATTTATTATTTTCAAGTTTATCAATTAATCCAGATATTAAGTTTAGAAATAAATATTTAAATGTAATATACTTACTGCTATAGCAGTTTAATAATATAAAAAAATAATTAATATGCTAATATATTTTTATTTTTAAAGAGAATTAATAAAAGTGGTGGTGAAGAAAATGTAATTTTAGGATGGATTTCAGAACAGGTTGGTTGGGGTTTATTTGCAAATAGAGATTTTCAACGTGGTGACTATATTGTACGTTATGGTGGTATGATTACAATGAATCAAGAAATGAAGACAACAGATTATAATATGATGATTTCGAATGAGGATTTTGGTTTGGATGCCTCTAAATACAGATCGTTAGGCGGTATGATCAATCATTCTTCTAAATTTAAAAATGCTGAAAGTGAATGCATATTCGAAGGTGGTTGTGAACAAGCTTTAATTACTGCAGTTAGAAATATTCCAAAAGGTACACAAATATTTATTGACTATTCAAAATCCTATTGGGGTGAAGATAATGAAAACAATTCCGCAAATGGTACTAATACAGAAATGGTTGAATTGGGTGGAACCAAGGAATATCCATCAATTATTTTAAATATCTAAAAAATGTTTTTTTTTATTTGTTTTTTTTTTTTTTTAATAAAGAATGGACCTAATTCGTATCTATTATTGCCAAAAAAAAACCAATTTATTGTTTTAATTTATTTACTATTTTTGTTTGTTTTTTTTTTTTATTTTTTTTAATTTTATTTTTTATATTTTTTTAATTTTTTTTTAAAATTTTTTTTATTTTTTTTTTTTCATTTTTTTTTTTAAAATTTTTTTCCATCTTCAAACATTTATATTTTTAATAAATTATAAATATTAATTTATTTTTAATAGTAGCTTAAATAACATATATATACATATTTATATAATTTCAATATATTTCTTTTAATAATTGTATAGATATTTATCATTATTTAACTCACATTAAAAAAAATATTAACTATACCCCATAGTAATCATAATTATAATAATTATATTTTTAAATTTATTTATTTAATTATAACATAAAGTTAAATATAAAATAATAATTATTTAATATCAGTAAATAAATCAATAGATCAATATAACTAGTATATATGGGTACAGTTGGCGAAGTAAGCTCCAGTCAGTGGAGTTGCAGCTTTATATCAAGAGATGAATATAATCATTTTTTAGCAAGTAATCCTCTTGGAATTATCTTAAAAGCAGAGAATAAAATCAAACAGCTTAATCAATCCTTAGAGTCTGTTCAAGCTAAATCACAAGTTGAAATTACAAATTCACGTATGTGTTTTATTTAACTTTTTTTTTTTTTCCGCATTTCCCCCTTTTTTTCTTTTTTTTTTTTTTTTTTTAAAAAAAACTCACTCTTCACACACTTTACATCTATTAACCTATAAATTTAAATATAGAGCAATTATTTCAACAAATAGAAAAAGAACAAGTTGATCTTAAGAAGGACATCGAATCAATTACAAAACAAAATCTTACTTTAAAAAGAGATATTCAAAATTTAAGTAGGTAACAAATAAATCATAGTTTAATAATTCTATTTATGAATATTCATTAATTTAATTTAATTTTATTTTATTTTAGCAACAAAGAATGAGGAGTTAACAAATGAAATCCATAAATATAAAGATTTGGCAAACGAAAAAGAATCAAAATCAAATACATTAAATAAAATTATAGATGAATTACAATTAGATAAGTCCAATCTTCATTCAATTCTCGAAAGAAAAGATAAAGATTTAAAAGAAGAAACCGAAGCAGTTACAAAATTAACAGAAAGATTAAATACTTTTATTAAAGAGAAATCAGACTTAAAATCTAAATTAATTTCAGTTGAAAATGAAAACTCTTCAAATGAATTCCAAATTCAAAGATTAAAACAAGAGGTCACAGAATTAAGAAAGCAGTCAACTCTATTGGATGAAAATAATAAGCAAACTACAAATAATTTATTTAACGAAATTAAAGATTTGGTAAATATTATTTATTTATTTTTTATTTTTTTTTTGTTTTATATTTTTTTAATAATTATATTAACTTTTTTTAAAATTATTAGAAATCATTAAATTTAGAATTAAAATTAAAAAATGAAAATCAAAATGAAGAAATTTTGAAATTAAAACAAATTAATGAAAATTTGAAGAATAAAGAAAAAGAATTCGAAAAGAAAGTTGAACAATTGAATGATGAAATAAGAAGTTTAAATACAGAAAGAATTCAAAGTGGTGGTCAATTTGAAAACGAATTAAGCAAACAAAAACAATTAGTAACATTGTATCACGATAAATCAGAAGATGCCAACAAGAAGGTTGCACAATTACAGGATCAATTAAATAAATTAAATGAATCTGACAAGAGGTTAAGAAAGGAACATGCAGATGCTTACAAGAAAATGGAAGAGGCTTACGATGCTTTGCAAGAGAACTACCAAAAGGTTATCAAAGAGTTTGATGAATTCAAGAATACTACAGCCCAAGCTTCATTCAATGGCATTACTAGTAGTAATGGAGATTTGTCACAAATGGAAATTCCAATTTTATCAGAAACTGTAAAGAATAGATTAATAGAAGCAGCATCAGGTTCTCGTGATGAAATCCGTAGAGAGTTTTTAGAAATGGTACAAAGATATGAAGATCTTACCAAGATTGCATTAAACGAAAAGAAAGAGAAACGTTATATTCAAGACCACCTTAATCATATTCTCAGCGAAGTTGAAAAGAAGGCTCCATTAATTCATGAACAAAACCGTGAATATCAACGTTTATTAAAGAGTCAAGAAAAATTATTAGATAGCTATCAAACTTTACAATCTCAAAAAGAAACCCTTCAACTCAAAGTTTCCACAGCCGTTGCCGATAATAACAGATATAAGCAAGAAAATTCAGATTTACAAAAACAAGTAAGATTATTATTAAAAGAGGCTTTAGAAAAGAAACAATTAAATAGTGTTATAAATAGTCAACAACAATCCGGTGGTAGAGGTTCTATTGGTGTCGGTAATCAACAATCAGTTTATGGAGGTAGTTTTATTGGAACCAATTCAACATCATCACTCTCAGTATATGAAGAAGATCAAATTATTCCAGATTCATTAATTACATTTACAAATATTGAAGATTTACAAGCCAAAAATATAGCATTATTGAAAAAAATTAGAGATCTTTCAAAGACACAGGAAACTGCTTTAGAAAATGAAAAAAGATTGGAAATTTTAGTTAGAGAAATGGAACAAATTAAAAAGAATAGTTCAAGACAACATGAAACTATTGATACATTAACAAAACAAAGAGATCATTATAAAAATATTTCATCTGCAAATGGTAATCAATCAATTTTCACTTCTCCAGTGGCCAACAGTACCAATAATAATAATATTAATAATAAAGCTCAATCACAACAGGGTATGATGACATTGGATGACCTATCTTCATCAACAAGCCCAACATCAAATTCACAACAATTTAATAGTTCATTAATGTCGTCAAATGGTATTTCACAATCATTAAACAATAACTCACAATTAATAAATGACTATGAAAAGGTTAAACAATCTCATCAATTACTTCAAAAAGAATATGAACAATTAATTAGAGATAGATCAGCTAGCGATAAAGAGTTACTTTCTAAAATTGATCAGCTTAAAGAACAAACTACTTCATTAAAGATTCAACTTTCACAAGTTCAAAGTGAAAATATATTAATGAAAGAAAGATTACAAATTTCGACAGACTCATTGAAGAACCACTCAGCTGACTTGGAGCAATACCGTAGAAAGAATCAAGAGTTAATGGATGCTGTGGTTAGACATCAACAATCTATTGAAAATTTAAATTCCCAACTCTCCAGATCAGAGGAATTAAAATCACAAGCTGAAATTCGTCTTAGTAATATGAAGGGTGAAAATGATTTAATTAGGGCAAGCGAACAACGTTTAATCGAAATGAATAAATCATTATCACAAGAGAAATTAAGTATCGAATCACTTTTAGAAAAAGTTAATCAAATGAATTCCTCTAAAGAAGCATCAGAAATCGAACTCAGAAGAAGAATTGAAAATGATTTAACAGCCCAAGAAACTAGCAGAATTCAATTAAAGAAAGAGTTAGAGCAAGAAAAACAACAACATAAAGAATCAACAATGACATTAACTCATCAAATTAATGAAACTCGTGAACGTTTCGAAAAGAAAGAAAAAGAATTGAATGAAATTAAAGAGCAATTAATTAAATACAAGATTGCAGAACAAACTCTTACACAAAAAGTAGGCATTTTAGAGTCCCAATTAAATCAATCTGAATTGCGTTATAATACAATAATGGAAAGAGCCCAATCTTTACATAACCAATCACAACAAGCTCAATCATCCTCTTCATCATCATCAACTACTGCATCACAACAATCATTATCAATGAATGATAGTTTAGATTTATCATTAGCTAGATCAGAAATTGAAAGCTTAAAAGAATCTTTATCACAAGAAAAAGAACAAACTATTTATTACAAATCAATTTCAATTTCAACCCAAAATGATTTGGCAGCAGTTAAAGAAGAGTATGCCAGAATTAAAGTTGAATTAGAAGAAAAACTTAAAGATGTTCAAGGAGAATTAGCCAAGAGTCAAGAGACAGTTACTGAACAATCAGTTAAATTAGAAAAATTAGAAAACTTTTCATCAACCCATCAAAAAGACATTAATTCTATTGTTTCAGAAAAAGAATCATTGTTAAAAGAAAAGAGTGAACTCTATGAAAAGATTGATCAATTAACCAAAGATCAGCAAACTGCCCTCGAAGAAGCCAAACTTCAATATCAACTCTGTAAGAAGGCTACAGAAAATTACGAACGTGAAGTTGTATTACACGCTGAAGATATCAAAGGTTTACCAAAACTTAGAGAAGATTTATCTGAAGCAAGAAAACAAATTTCTCAAATGCAATTAAAGATTGGATCAAATACTTCAGAGCTTAATCAAGCTAAACAATCATGGTTAGATCAAGAAAATTTACTCAAAGGTCAAATTACTGAATATGAAGAGCGTCTTAAAGATCTCAAACACCACAATAATTTATTACAATCCCAAATTGAAAATATTAATCAACAAGCATCACAAATCGATAAATATAAATCAATGGTTCATTCAGCAGCAGCAGCTAGTGGCCAAGGATTAACTGAACAACAGCAACAAATTTTAAATAATCTTTCAGAGGTAGTTTCAGTTCAATCACGTGAACAAAAGATTCTCGAAGTTAAAAATGAAACCTTACAACAAGAAAATATTCGTCTTAAATCGATTATCGCTAATAACCAAAAGACTATTGACTCTATTAATAAGAGACTTAGTGAAGAGCAAGAGAATATGCGTACTCTTACAGTTAGCACCAAGAAACATCAAGAAGTTGTACAACAATTAGAACAAATGAATCTTTTCAAGGAATCAAATATTATGCTCAAAGATGAAACTAAAAGACTTGGCCAACAAGTTGGTGAACTTCAAGCTAAACTTAAGCAATCAGAGGACCGTATACTTCCACTTACCGAATCAAATAAAAAACTTATGGCCGAAAATCAAATTCTTCATAATGAAATTGAAGCTCAAAAGATTGAAATTTCAAATTGGTCAGGTAAAGTTTCCAAATTACTCAATAAATATCAATCTATTGATCCAGAAGAACATCAAAAATTAGTTGATGCCAACGAATCAATTACCAAAGAAAAACAAGAGTTAAATACCCAACTCGAAGAAGCAAAGAAACAATCTGAAGATTCAAAGAAACAGCATGAGGATCTCAAGAAACAATATGAAGAGCTCAAAAAACATACTAAACATTGGAAAGAGGAGGCTGTTAAATTCAAAAAAGAAAAAGGTGAATTAGAAACACAACTAACTCAACAAAAAGATTTATTCAATACTACTAAACAACAATTAGATACCATTACAGCTACTAACGAAGCATCCTCTAAAGAAAATATTGATTTAAGAAAGAAGGCTCAACTTTTAAATGCCAAATTAATTAAACTTAAAAACACTGCAACCGCAGCTACACCTGCAACAACTCCAGCTCTTTCAAATGAAGAAATTGAAACTTTGAAAAAACAAAACGAAGAATTGAAGAAACAAGTTGAAGACTTGAAGAAACAAAACGAAGATTTAAAGAAATTAAATGATGAATTAAAATCAAAAATGAAACTTTATGAAGCCCTAAAAAAACCATTACCTGTAAATAATACTAATAATGTTGCTGCTAGTTCTACAACACCTGCAACAACAATACCAACAGTCATCACTCCTGTTGTTAGTACTCCTTTAACAACATCCACTCAACAACCCGTCGTAAATACTGTTGCAACCCCAAGTACACCTACTACTCCAACTACTCCAACCATTCCTAGTTCTGAACCACCAAAGAAACGTACCTTAATGAAGAAAAATATTCAATCTATTAATAGTATTTCATCTTTATTAAGCTCCTCAAATGCTGCTACAACTACAACTCCATCATCAACTGCACCAGCAACCACCTCAATTACAACTCCATCATCTACTGTTGCAGTAACTACAACAGCCGCACCAAATACCAATACAACCCCATCATCATCAACAACCACTACTACCCCACCAACATCTATTTTTGGAATGAAACACACTGTATTTTCACCACAGATTGGATCACCTTTAGCACAATCATCGACAACTGCTCCAGCTTCAGGCGTTTTTGGTCAAAGTACCCCATCAGTTTTTGGTTCGTCTATATTCTCAAATAGTACCGATTCATCTGCATCTGTCCCAACAGAGCCAACAACCACAGCCTCAGAAACCACACCAACTGAGACAACAGAAACAGAGACACCCTCTGAAACAACTTTATCAACAGAGCAACTTCAACCAGAATCACCGACATTAAATAACGAAGAAACAATATTAGAGGAAGGTGAAAAAGAGGATGAAGAAGATGAAGAATTACTTGAAGATGTTGAAGATACTCCAAATCAACATGCTTCAAAAAAACAAAAAACAGATTTAGGCTCATCAATAACTTCATTATCTGATGATGAAGGTGAAATTAAATAAAAACAAAATAAAAAAATTTTAATTTTTAAAAAGACCAAATGTTCTAAATTATATTTAAAAAAAAATTTTATTTTTTATTTTTTATCCACGAAGCGAGACCATAGCCATCCCATTACTTTCATCTTTCTTGAATTTATCTCTTTCTTTTTGACAACGTTTTAAATTTGCAACAATATCTTTATCACCATTATAGTAATCAATTTGACATTTTGTTAAAAGCTCTTGAGTTTCATCTTTGTTCTGCATTCTTTTAAATCGTTAGTTGTGGTAGTTTTATCTTTTACACATTTCAAAAAATCTTTATAATTTTGAGAATTACTATTTTGGCATGTTTTTAAATTAGTTTGAATTTTACCACAAACTTCTAGGGGAACAGGAGAGACAAAGGCGCCATTTACATATATACCATCAGCTTTAACATCAATTTTATCCTTAGAGCAGGTAATCGGAGTTGGACACACTGCAGGTGTATATTTTGGACATTTACCGTCATCGTCTCGATTATTTCCATCTTTACCAGAAGTACCACCTGTAAAGTGACCACCACCTTGGCTTTTTTTTTAATTTTTATTTTTATTTTTAAAAAAATTAATATTCTAATGGTGGTAAAATAATAATTTAAATTTTTTTTGTGAACAAAATAAAATTTGTTTTAAGTTGAATTATTTATTTTTCATTTTTTGTGTTTACCTTGATTTATTAAAAAATATTTTTTTTTTATTTTTTTTTTTTTCCATATTAAAATAATAACTTGTTTTATATATTCAAAAAAATGAGTGATTCAAATACAAGTAACGTCCTTCATAAAAAACATTGTCAGGGTGGCCACGATTTCAAATCCAGTTTTGACTTTATAGAAAATGATTTTTACTAGTATCCATTTTCTGAAAACTGCACTGTTGAATGTCTTAAAGTAAATTAAAGAATATGTGGATTTTTTAGATGGTATGTGTAATGAATTACAAGTGATTTCTAAAATTTTCAAATCTCTCAAAGTTTCAAAAGATGGTACTCTTCCAGTATTCGAGTTTAGCGATGTTTTCAATTATATTACAGGTGAACCAATTTTATACCAAAAAAATATTCAAGATTTATTTAAAGTCAATTTGTTAGATTTCGATATTCCGGATTTAGAAAAGAGAACAGATATTCCAAACAGTTGGGAAGAAAAAGAAAATAAGGAATTGGAAGAAAAAGAAGAATCAAATAATGACAAAGAATCAAAAGAAATAACAAAATAATAAAAATATTTTTTGTTATGTTCTTGTGTAATAAATAGTTTTTTATATAAAAAAAAGTTTCTTTATTTCTTTTCTTTATTTATATTTATTTTATTTATAATTTATTTGTATTATTATTTATTCATCTTTTAATATTTCTCTGGAGGTTAATAATCTCATTACAGCATCAGAACCTTCAAGGATACGATGAACACGAAGATCACGAAGATATCTTTCAACGGGGTAATCTTTGAGATAACCATAACCACCAAATAATTGAAGTGAGTCATCACATACCTTGAAGCATTCATCACATGCAAATAATTTGGCCATGGCGATGTAGACGTGGGCAGATGGATCTTTATTATCGAGCATAGTGGCAGCAGTTCTAATCATAACACGTGAGGCATGTAATTTAGTGGCCATATCAGCCAATTTAAATTGAATAGATTGGAATTTTTCTAATGGTTGATTAAATTGTTTTCTAACCTTGACATGGTCACGAGCAGCAACTAAACTTGCTTGAGCACCACCTAAACTACAGGCACCAATATTAATACGACCGCCATTTAAAGCATTCATAGCAATGTTAAAACCTTGGCCTTCACCACCAATAAGATTTGCAACTGGGACTCTACAATCTTCGAAAATTAAAGCTCTAGTTGGTTGGGTGTTCCATCCTAATTTTTCTTCTTTTTTACCAAAACTTAAACCTGGTGTATCTTTTTCGATTAATAAACATGAAATACCTTTTGGACCTTTTTCACCAGTTCTTACCATAACTAAATAAACCTCACTGTCACCACCACCACTAATAAATGCCTTGCTACCATTTAATATAAAATGATCACCATCTCTAACTGCTTTTGTTGATAAAGATGCTGCATCACTGCCACTGCCTGGCTCTGTTAAACAATAACTTGCTATCTTTTCCATTGTAACTAATGATGGTAAATATTTTTGTCTTTGTTCCTCTGTACCATAAATATCAATTAAACCTGCACACATGCTATAATTTTATATTAATAAATTTTTCTCTGAAAATTGTTATTTCTTTGTAGTTATTGTTTTTAATATTTACTTATGAATACTAATAAAAGCGGTTGTGCTAACATCAGCAGAAGCTAAAGCTTCAATAATAATTGAAGCATCGAGTCTTGAAAGACCTGAACCACCAACATCCTCTTTAACATAAAGACCACCAAAACCTAATTCTGCAGCTTGTTTCATAACTTCACGTGGGAAAAATTCTTCTTTATCCCATTTTTCTGCAAATGGAAGCATTTTTTCTTGTGCAAATTCAAGTGCCATTGTTTGAAATTGTTTTTGATCATCTGTTAATCCAACACTTGCTAAATTAAAAAAAAAAAATTTAGTTAGATTATTAAACTATATTTATTTTCTATTTAGATATTGATATTGAGTAAATATTATTATTGTTATTATTATTACTATTATTGCACTGCTATTTGTTAGTTTAAAATCCAATTATTAATATTGTTTTTATGTTGAAAACTTTATTAAAATGTTTTATTGTCATATTTTCTATTATTGTTATTTTAGTTTTGGTGGGTGTGTTTTATATTTATTGGATATTCTTAAATTGTTTATATAGTATTTTTAATTAATTGTTAAAATGATATTATTTAAAAAAAAAATTATTTATTAATTTGTAAATTTCGTTTTTTCATATATTTTTTTAAAATTTATGAAAATTAATTATAAAAAAACCTACGATTTGGTACAATATTAAAGAATGTACGTTGGGTCAAAGCATTTCCTAAAATTAATTTAGAAAAAATATTATGACCAGTAACATTGGACTTTTGAATTAATCTTGAAAACATTTTTAATTCTATTAAAACAAAACTACAAAATCTTTTGAATTAAACAACATTAAATGTTCATCCATTGAAAAAAAAAAAATTTAAATTTTTTAAAAAAAAAATAAAAAAAAAAATAAAAAAAAAAAATTAAATTTAAAAAAAAAAAATATAAATAAAAAAATAAATGAATAAGAAGTAAACTAGTTATTTATTTTTTATATTAATATTTTTTTTTCATTTCTGTTTGAAATTAATATTTTTAAGAAAATTTAAAAAGATTTCAAATTATAAAATAAATTTTTTTTTTTTTTTGCAATATAAATAAAAAATAAAAAAAAAAAATTTTTGTAAGATTAAAAAATATTTTTTGATTTTCAAAAAAAAAAAAAAAAAGTATCTTTTAGAAAGTGAGTACTGATAACAGAGTATTTAAATACAATAATTATTAAATCAAGTTTTTTTTTTAATTTAGAAAATACATTGGGGTTTATAAACAGTTTTGTAATTTGGTTGGTATTTAAAATTTTAAAATTAATTTTTTTTTTCCTTTTGATTTGTATAATTTTCTTTATTTATTAACCCAATTGGCATTTTAACATTTTGTTTGTGTTTTTTTAAAAAAAAAATGGAAAACCAAAAATAAAAAAATAAAAAAATAAAAAATGAAAAAAAAAAAATAATCAGAGAGGATGGAAGATTTTATTATTATAACCGAACACTTCTTTTCAAGACATATTATTTTTTATAATGATTTTAATAGATTTTTTTTTGATTTGTATCTTTTATTAATTTTTTTTTTTTAATATTTTTTAATATTTGTTTTTTTTTTTTTTTTTAATATTTTTTTATGGATAGGGAAAACTATTTAACCTAAACAAAATTTTTTCCAATTAAATAGTTATAAGATTAGATATAAAAAACAAATAGAAATAGAAATATAGAAAAAAAAAAAAAGTGAAAATGAAAATTATAATTTCAGTTTTAATTTTATTTATTTGTTTTAATCAAATTGTTTTATCAGATTATACATATTTTAAAGTCCAAACAACAACTTGTAAAGATAGAGTTGTTGAAGTTGATGGTTGCTCTAAAAACTCTGCTGGAGGATGTGCTGATTCTATTAAAATTGCTGCCAAAGATGATGATGATCACTTCTCTTTATCATTATACTCAAATGACGGTGCATGTTCATCAGATGATGCATACTCTACCTTTGACTTTACATGTCTCCAAGAAGGTGTTGCTCTTAATGTTTCTGACTATAATGTAACTTGCTATACATCTGATCCAAACATTCCAAAATATAGTTTCTTTAAAGTTGAAAAACATCTTTGTAACGAAAGAAGGGATATGGAATTGGATTCTTGTTTATCTGTTAGCACTGCTGAAATTCCAAATTGTAATGGCTCTGTTAGTATTGGTTCGTATTAATATATTCTCCATATAATATGTTTATTTTTTTATTTATTAACACTCTCAAAATTAAAAAAAATATTCAGATTTTTCATTTGGTACTACTTACAATTTTAATGTTTTCACAAATGATGATTGCGGAGGTGCTCCATTTAGAGTCGGTCCATTTAATTGTGCTGGTGAAGGTGAACAAATCCAAGCTAGAGGTTTTGTAGTTACTTGCTATTCTGAAGATTACTTATCATCATCTTCCAAACTATCAATTACCCTATATGTATTATTATCTAGTATTTCTTTATTATTACTATTTATTTAATTTAAATATAATCTACATCAATTTAAATATTTTTAAAAAACACATTTTTATTATAAAAAAAATAAATAAATTTTTTTTTGTAAAAATTTTTGAACAGATATTTTTTTTTTTTTTTTTTTTTTTTTAATATTTTTCAAACTATCATTAAATTAAACTTATAATAGACTATATTCTAAATATAAATTATAAACTGGAAAATAACAATATTAATAATATTAATAATAATAAAAACAATAATAATAATAATAATAATAATAATAATAATAATAAACGATATATTTGTTAGTTTTTATAATCACACATAAATTAATATTTTTTTTTTTAATAAAAATAAATATTAATTTAGTGGTTTTGGTTAAATATTATTGGGCAAAACTTTTTACTTGAAAGATTTTTTTTAATAACTGAAAGTAAAAGAGGTATTTTATTTTTAAAATTTTTTATTTTTTTTTTTTCCTTTTTTTTATTTTTTTATTTTTTATTTTTTTTAAACAAACCAGAAAGTTTTTTTTTTCCTTTTTTTTTTTTTCAAATCAAATCAAAGATATAATAATTGGGAATAATTAATATATACAAATAAAATCAAAATGAAGTTATTATTACTTTTAATTATTTCAATAGCTTTCAATAAAGTTGTTTTATCAGCATCAAATTATAATTATTTTAATATTCAAAACAGCAAATGCGAATTTAAACAAGTTTCAACACTCGGAGATTGTTCAGAAGTTACTAGCGAAATTGAAGGATGCACAGCTAATTCAGTAGAGGTTGTTTATTATGGTGAAAATAGTTTTACTTTAGAAACATTCTCTGACAAAACATGCTCACCAAAAGCTTTATCATCTGTTAATTTTACATGCACTGAAGAAGGAACACCACAAACTGTTGGTGACTATACATTCACATGCTTTGCTGAAGATCCAAGAGTTCCAAAATATAATTATTTTTCAGTTTTACAAAATCGTTGTGATGATGGCGAGACTGCTATGGCATTAAGCTCTTGCTATTTTATTAACAATACCAACAAACCACAATGTACCGGTTCTGTAGATATCCAACATTCTTTTGGAAACACATTTAATTTCGATGTCTATACCAATAACAATTGCTCAGGCACTCCATTTAGAGTTGGTCCATTTAATTGCACTGGTAATGGTGAAACCGTAGCCTCCAACAACTTTAATGTCACCTGTTATTTAGATGATCCAAATTATGACTCTTCCTCATCCTTATCTGTTTCCATTATCTTTAATTTATTTTTATTATTTTCTTTAATTTTATTTTTTAATTAATTTTAAATAAATATTATTGTCCCTTATGTTTTTTTTAGTAAATATTATTTTTCATAAAAAAAAAAAAAAAAAAAATGATTATCAAAACATTTAAATTACTATACAATTTTTTTTAATCTTTTATTTTTATTTATTCGTTTAACCTTTATATAAAAGTATTATTTTTATTTTTAAGATTTGTATATATATATTATAATATTGTTGGCTTCCTACTGAATTGAACAATATGAGTATCTACCAGAGAGACTAGCATTAACTTCCGTAGTTGTTGTAGTTGTATTTCCATTGGTTACAGTTGTTGTAGTTTTTTCTATATTTAATTTTTCGTTCATTTGTTTTGAAACATCCTCTTCATCGCTACTACTATCACCCTTGAAACCAAAATATCTTGGTTGTAATGTTGGTGAGGAGTAAGAAGGTGTGCAAGTTGGAGTGAAAATTGGTTTAATATTATCGCTTTTATTGAACCAATAATTTTGAATCCATTCAATTGTATCTGTTAAATCTACTTTGCTTGCAATCTCTTCCAAGAGAGGTATGAATTTTGGTTGATCCAAGTTGATATTTTGAGTTAAAAGAGGATCTACACGATGATATTTTTGTCCTAAAAGTTGAGCACATTGGAAATCTGATATTTCTACATTACTGTCTAATAACATATCAATAAGAGTTGGAGCCCACTGAGCAAGGCCCCATTCACCGCTACCATATTGCTCTGGCGATACAAATTTACCATCTCTACCGGTGGATAACGAAAGTACAGCAATAGAATCTAACTTTATACCACTATTGATTGCAGAGGTAACACCACATAATGATGGGTTGTTTGCATATACACCACCATCAACAAAACCTTGGTAAATTGGGAAATAGGTTGGAGCGGCGCTGGTTCTTAAACAAACATCTACTACTAAATGATCTGCAGTTCTACTATTTTTTAAATTGTGGAAGAAACGTGGAGCCCATCTTCTGTGTGACTCATGATCTGGACCATATCCACCGTGGTGACGAGGAATAACTTCGAAATCTTCATCATCATCACAAAACATATCTTCTGGTTCAAACTTTGCTGAGACTGGTTCACTTTCTTGTAAAACTTCTTTTTCTACTTCTTTTTTTTCGCACTCACCTTCCTCACTGTTACATTCGCCATTATTTTTATTATCACTTGCTTTAACATTATCATTTTTGGTTGTTGGTGTATTTGGTGCTAATGTACTATGATTGTCTAATTGAAAACTTGGGATTAATACTTTTTTTGGTAAATCTGAAAGTTTGATATCCCCAAATTGTCCAATTAAAACCTCTTTGAGTTTATTATTTGTATAAGCTGGTGCAATTGCGCTATCTAGTGAAGAAATTTCATGAATCCACGATTTTTTAAATATTTCTGGTACAATGGTTTTAAAAAATGCGTCTGCTTCGTCAACATTTTTACCAGTTGCTAAACAAAGTGATAAAATACCACCTGCACTTGCACCTGTAATTAAATCGATATTGTCCAAAAATGTTGGATAAACTTCAATAATTCTTTTTAATAAAACACATTCAATAATTGATCTAACACCACCACCATCTAATGATAAAATTCTAAAATGTGATTTGCCTAAATAAAAATTTATAAGTTAAAAAAAAAATTATTATACTTGTTTTAAATACAAATTATAAAATATTAAACACTTACCTTTTTTAATGGTCATATTTTCCCTTTTTTCTTTTTTTTAAAAATTCTTTACAATAATGGAACTATAATATAAAATACTTAAATTTTTATAATATAAATTCCTAAATAAAATAATGTGTATAAATAAATATATATATATATATGTAGGATTATCAAAAATGGATGTAAAATAAAATAAAAAAAAATAGAAAATGGGCCTGTATAAATAAAAAATTTAATTATATGAAATATAAAAATTGTTAGTGATATATTTCTTTTAAAGTAATATTATAGTAATGAATTATGTTAAAATATAAAAAAAACAAAAACAAAAACAAAAACAAATATATTTCAATATAATTTTTAATATTGTGTTAAAATTTGTATATATATTTGAAAAAAAAATATTTTAAAATAATAAGATAAAAAAAAAAAATTTTAAAATAAAAAAAAAATATATTAAAATTTAAAAAAAAAATTTAAAAAAATTAAAATTTAAATTAATTTAAAATTTAATATTAATGAAAAAAAATAATACATGAAAAAAATGTTTTTAATTTTTTTGGTTCTATGTGTATTTATAAATATGGAAAGTGTTATATTTATTAAATTATAATAATAAAAAAAAAAAAAAAAAAAAAAAAAAAAAATGAAATTTCAAAATGGACAAAATAAATAAAACACAAATGGTGAGTGAATATATTTATTTTTTATTTTAATTATTTAAAAAAAAAAAATAAATAAAACAAAAAAGGAGTTATTTTATATTTAGGGGAGAAGTAAAAGGGTATGGTTTAGTTTAAATGACATAACAATGTTTTTAAAATTAAAAGATTTAGAATATTAATATCAAAGAGTGTTTATAATATGGGAAAAATAAAAATTTGTTATAATCTAAAACAAAATTATTTATTGGTAAAAAAAAAAACAAAAAAAAAACAAAAGACAGGGACGATTAATTTTTTAAAACTCTTTGTATTAATACTAATATAAACCTTTTTTATACAAATATTTTAAAGATTTTTTTTTTAAAAAATACCAAACAAAATAAATTAAATAAATAAAATAAATAAAATAAAAATACAAAAAAAATATGGAAACAAGAAAATATTTATACACAATTATTTTTACACTCAATTAATAATTATTATAAAAAAATTTTAACATATGATAAAAATTATTAAGTTATATTTATTTTTTTATTTTTTATTTTTTTATTTTTTTATTTTTTTTTATTGTTATTATTGTTTTTATTTTTTATAAAAAAAATTTTATATTATTTTGTTAATAGAATTTATTTTTCTTTATACATACTTAAAGGTAGAAATTATAATTTGAATGTAAAAACAGAAAAAAAAATAGTCGTGTTTGGAAAAGTATTATACAGAAAATATTTATTAAAAAATTAATTAATTTGTAAACAAAAAAAAAAGTGTGTTATTATAATGTACAAAAAAATAATAATAATATTTAAAAGATAAAAAAATTTATTATTATTATTTTTATTATTAAGGTGCTAAAATTGTGAGAGTAACAAATAAATTTAAAAAATTAAAATAAAATATATTTTTTTTTTTTTTTGAAATTTTAATTTTTTTTTATTTTTATTTTTATTTTTTTTATTAAATATTTAATAGTTTTTACTTTCCCATTTTTTTTTTAAAAACTGTTAAATTTATTGATATTTTTTTCAAATATTAAAGTTTAATCCTAAGTTTTATTTTTTTAAAAATTC